GTAGCAGCCTCATCCCCTGCACAGCAGCTCAACCACCTCAGCAAACCCTGCCACGAGCGACCAACAGCTCTCGTCACTGCGTGACACTCCTGCCCATCCCTTCTCCTTCCGTTCAGCACAAAGGGCTCTGGAGCAATGACTGACGTGTGTTTTCATGGTGCCTCATAGAAATGAGGCCTGGCTCAGGCAGGCATAGTCAAGCAGTGTGAGAGTGGATGGCTGTACCCCAGGAAGAGGAGGGCACATGGTGGTGATCACTGACAGCACTTTGTTCCAGTTCTGCCCCCTCTCAGGGCAGCACAGCTTCCCGACCTGTTTGCCAGGCAGTGGTGCCCACCTGACACCAAGCAGTAGATAGAGAATGCTTAAAGCTCTCCCTACCTGCCAGGGTCTTTCCTCTTCTCTGCAGCACAGTCCCCCTTGCTCTTCTCCATCTCCTGCAGGAGGGCTATTTGGATGGGGGTGTTTCTGCCGTCACTGCCGGTGCTGCTGCGGTGCTGCCGGCCCCGGCAGTCGGGCTGGGAGCTGCGCTTCATGGCCTGGAGCTGGGCCAAGGGCACGATGTCGCAGCCCTGGGGCCGGTGCCACACCGTCTGCCGCGTGATGGCATTGTAGTAGTAGAAGCGGTTGTTGTTCTGGTCAAAGAGCTCCCACCACTGCTTCTGGTCCGACTGGCGCACCTTGAGGTTGGGAGGGGGCTCCCAGCCGCACTCCCCCGTGGTCAGGTTGACATACATCCGCTCCTGGGAGCGGGGCTCGATGATCTCCACCCAGTCCGAGCTGCAGGGACACGAGAGCCACGTTAGTCTGGGCCTGAGGCTCGGGGCAAACTGGTTGTCTGGGAGCTCTACAGAGCTGCTGCCTCTGGGCCAGGCAGCTGTGCTGCACATCAAAGCACTGCTCAGGGCCATTCGGCAGTCTAAGGAGCTCAGGAGAAGACAAGGGGAAGGGTTTGAGAGAGGAGCCAAATCAGCAACTCCCTGGTAGAGAGGAGAGGTCAGTCTCCCCCCCGCAGCCTGCCCCAGCATCAGCTCAGAGCACTCACCAGCCCCGGACAAGTGGCACAGGGCGGGAGAGCACCGTCTGCTGATGCTCTGATAACTCACATCAAGGGCTGGCGCGATTGCAGGAGCGCCGGCGCCTGGCAAGATGCGCAGCGGAACTCGCTCTCCAGAGCAGGGAGGATCTGCAAAGCAGGATCTGCTCCTCTGGGGAGCTGCACCCTGTTGTTAATGTCACCTCAAACCCCTGGCTACCCAACTGACGCGGACAGTCTGCCCATGCGGGTGCCTCCTGCGGGGCCCACGAGCTGTGCGCTGGAGGGGACCTCTGGGTCAGCCAGTCCCTGCTCAGAGCTCACGCTTGGCCAAAAGATAGATGCAGGGACTGACTGACAGATGAGACTGCCTCCCTTGAAAGCTCTTCCCATCCTCCCTTGAAAGCTCTTCCCATCCTCCCTTAGCTAACGGAACAGAGCCCTCAGCGGGGCCACATGAATAAGGTGGGTTCAGGGCTACCCTTGAAACCCACTCCTGCCTGGTGCCTTGGGGGCTTCAGCCAGCACAATCTCCAGCTGCTCCCTGGAGGGGGCATGGCAGCAGGAGCCATTCCCAGAGGAGCAGCAGGAGTAGGGATATCCCATTGCATCCCTCACACACCCTCCACTGCTGGGCTGTGGTTCCTCAGAGCTGTCTGGGTTGATGATGGCAGTATCCTGAAATGGCAGGCTGGGCTCTGGGTGCTCAGCCCTGCTGGCATAGTCCTGGGAGAGGAGGTGTTTGCTGGCAGGACACGACAGCCTTGGCTCTGCCCCAGCTTTCTGGGCAAGGTCAGTGTGTCCTCTCCAACCAGGCAAGCCTGGGAAGGGGTTTAATTGCACATTACACCTCCCTGCTAGGAAAACCACAGCTGTACTCGATCCTGAGCAGTCTGGCACGCACCCCTAAAATGTATGCTGCTCCTTGAGTCTTTGAAGATGCAAAATTGATAGGTACAACGTCAGTTCAACCCAAAATAAACCTGAACTGCCTGAAAAGGTGCAATTATCCCTACCACCACATCTACCATGCGATGCTGACCTCCACACAGTCTCACAGAGGGCTGATGTTCAGGCTGGGGAAGCTGATCCAGGTGAAACCGACTTTTTTTGTGGCATAGGTCTGTTTTTAGCGAGCTCAGCTCTCCTGGCCCAGCCTATCACCACCACGACCAAGCAGTTGGGAGCAGAGCACCCATGGCATCCATTCCTTCTGCATCCAACCACTGCCAGAGCAGGGCAGGACACTGCAAAGAGCATGCCTGCGAGTGGATCCCACTTGGAAAACCCTGCGTCCAGAAAACATCTGGTTTGTTGTTTGGTATTTTTTGGTCAAAATGACATCACTTCTCCTATTTGATTTAAGGTGCAACACAAATGGCTGTACCAGCACCACATGCCACGGTTGGGGGTGGGAATCACGGAGCCAGCCTGATTATTTCCATGCGGTTGCAATGTGAACCCACAGGCACAGGAACAAATCAGCAAATCACTGCTGTTAATCAAGGGCATTGTCAACTGCAAAGAGGCATCATCCGTCATAAACGGGGCATAAAAAGGGGAAACAAGGGCTCAGCAGTGCTGGGAAAAGAGTGAGATGAGCACGTCCATGGAGACGGCAGCAAAGAAGCGCAGGTAGGACAAGGAACTGGCGAAGCAGACAGAGAAAGAGAGGAGGTAGTTAAGGAGTATTTGCTTGGCAAGGAAAAAAAATGAAACAAACCCCTCTTGTAAGACCCATCTGAGCAATCAAGATGCAGTTGAGTCATCAACCTTTTGAATGTTCAAGAGCACACTGGGTTTGAACTGTTTTGCCAGCAATGGGATTAACAGAGCTCTGAAACACCAACTGCTCTACCAGCACTGCTGCTCCTCAGGAGAGCTCAGCTATTTTCTGTTAAGTGCAGGCTATTGAAAATCACACATTCTTCTCATGGCACTTGGCCACAACCGAGCACGTGTTGCTAACTATAGCCTTCCGTTTTAACAAGCTTACATTCATCTTTGCATGCAAAGAGATAGAAGTGGATGACTTGAGTTGGTGACCTCTTTGCTCCCCTTAAAACTGAGGGGGTAAGGATGACTGAGGTGGAGCGTAACCAGGGAAAAAGCCTGCACAGAACACACTGCAATAGCAAAGAGTTTGCTACAATCACATTCATATGTAAAGAAAGAAAAGGAAAAGCAAAGAGCACATTCCTGGAGCAGAGCCAGCCCTGGGCTGCCACACAAGCCTTGAACATAACATCAGGAACTCTGGAAAGACGTGATAAAAGCAGGATTGCAGAGAGATAAGGCCATAACTTAGACATTAAAAAAGAATTAATTCCAACTCCCCTCCATGGGGATAAAGACGAAGTTTCCTGGGAATAGTTTGAGTAACGCTTTTCTCCATCCTCTCAGCTCCAAGCACTGAACGACTGTGGAGCACACATCCGCTCCCGCTGGCACAGCAGGATCCCTGCGGTGGTTTCAGTTCATCTCTTGGCACCCAACGTCCCCAGGCACAGGACTTCCCTGCAGCCCAAGTTTTGAAACCCAGAGCAAACCCCACTGCAGCCCAAGCTGTGGCCACGCAGCCCATGGGCATCGCAGCAGCACCAGGAGCTGACCCACTCACCAGAGGACACAACACAGGAGACGTACAACTAAATCCCTGCTTGCTTCCAGAACCAGACCCGCATTCCCACCGTGCATCCTTCTGTGTTGTTAGAGAAATTTCAGGAGTTTCCTTTGCATCCTGAAAAATACACAGATACTTTCCACACCTTGTAGCTCGTAAGTAAGTCCCAGCTCCAGCCACTCCTTTTCAGAGGGGTGGCATGGCCATGGGGCAAGGTGCCCACATGGTGAGTTGCCACGTGTTGGGACAATGCACCAGATGTGCAGAAAGCAGGAGGAAGTGCAGGGCTTTTTGTGCCCAAGTGCATCTCACATGGGCAGACAGGTTTGTTCCCACCTGAAGCAACCTGGGTTTTATGGAGTATATAGACAAAGCAGGTAAGAGGCCTGTGTTCTGTCTTGCCAGCCTCTGGGGCAGAGCTGATGGACATTTACCAACTTGGCTCCTTCAAAAACAGCTTGGGTCCCTCCTGGCTACCATTC